GAGGTGGGAGGGTGAAGGAGGCTGGGGGAGTCAAGGCATGGTGGGCACCTATGGACTTACCTAGGAAAGAGGCTGGTGGGTTGTGTGGCCCACGGAAGCAGAGGGAAGTGAGGACATGACCAGGCCCAGTGGGCTCCTGGGACCATAAGAAGGAACTGGTCTGGTCTGGATGCAAGTGATAAGGAAGCAGTGGTGGTTCTGGGCTGAGAGGTCAACCCTGGTGTCCAGGAGAGAGGCTGTTGGGTTGTGAAGGCCCAGGGAAGTAGAGGGATGTGAGGGCAGGACAAGGCCCAGAGGGCTTCTGGGGACCTCCAGAAGGAACTGGGTTGGTCTGGATGCAAAGGATCAGGAAGCAGTGGTGGTTCTGGGCCAAGAGGTCATCCCCAGTGTCTGGGGTGCCAAGACAAGAAATGGGACAGTACCCAGGCTAGGAGGAGAAATGGGCAGGGGAGGTGGGATGGTGAATGAGGGTGGGAGAGTCACGGCATGGTGGGCACCAATGGATTTACCCAGGAGAGAGGCTGGCGGGTTATGCAGCCCAGGGAAGCAAAGGGAGTCAGGGATCTTTGTTTTTATTTTTATACAGGATTAGGTGTTGTAGGCTTTTCCCAATCATCCTGGTGGGTATCACTTGTGTCTTACCCAACTATAAAGCTCCCAAGAATCTTACAGCTATAGGTGGCCTTTGTTTCTTCAGGTGTACTTGATGTCTTCCAAATGGGTTCCACATCTGTAAAATACTCAAAGGTTAACATCATATATTAAATCAATCATAGACAAGGTTTAACACAGCATGGAAAGGTTTTATCCATTTGGATTAACTGCTTTCTCCATAGATCTCTCTTGCATACCATAGCATGGGTAAGAGACATTAACTTGGTTAGTTCTTTATTATCTTTAGTTATCCCTTCGGAGTCATTCCACATTCTGGGGATTTTTACATGGAGTCTCTTTGTATTTTTTTTTAAACCCTTGATACATTTACAGGTGCTGGCTCAAGTTGCCTAACCCTGCACTGGGCTAAGGAGGCAGAGAGTCTCTCTTGTCCCTGCTGCACTTGTTGGTTGTTTGACTCAGGCAGGCCCTGGTCTGCCTCCTGTCTGTAGCCATATCTGCTGCCTCTCAATGGAGAGAGCCATGCCTGGCTGTTGGGGGAGGTTCTGATGGAAAAAACTGCCTCCACCCCTATCATAGCCTTTCTCAGGAGAGAAGTATACCTTATTTAATCTTTGGGGGTCCTTAACCACCCCGGGACAGTTTTTATCCTCTGAATGCCCTTTGTGAACTGTTCTTCAGGTTTTAAAGCCTTCCAGAAAATCCTTAGTACAGAATTTGGTTTTCTATCATTTTTTCTTTGGAAATTTGGGCTTGACATAAATCTTGCCACATTTGTCTTCAAGTAACCCAAATGGACCATTTCTTCTCTCTGTTCTTTTTTTAAATCTCTTGTAGGCTGCTCTATTATTCTACAGACATGTTTTACATGCTGGTTTGAGTCACTTAGCTCTACCAAAGCATCCCTCACTTTATAAAGCTCTTGTCCCATTAAAAGACTTAGCAAAACCACTAAAGCTCTATACCATTCTCGAGGTCCCAGTTGAATTAAACTTTCCTTTATATCTCTGGTGAACACAGCCCTATCTGGCCCAGCGAACTGGGCATCATATATTGCCTTTCTTACACGTAGTTCTCTCAGTAATGCCTGTCTCTCTTTTATAGCCCTCCAGCCCATGCTAATCATGGGAGACTCCATAGGTGATGGCCATGTATCTTTAATACCTTGTACAAGCTATTCCATTAGGGACTGCTCCCTCCTGTGTTGGCCTAGGTTAAACAGCTGTGTCTCAAGGATGGATGGGTGGTTATTTAACTCAGCTGAGATGCTTCTGAAGGACTTAGACTGACATTATTTGTTCCCATGTCCCATACCCTCCAAGACACGTAGTAAGGGGCTCCTTAATTGCTTGTTTGAAAGACTTTCTGAGTCCCAATAGCTCCAGTGTGGAATATTTTCTCCTGGCTACAGTACTGTGAACGTTTTTCTCTTTTTGTATTAAAGTTGAATCTGAGGGGCAGCTTTAGCTACTTTTATTTCTAGGTCCTTTCTTTTCTTATTACTATCTGTCTTTTTTCTTGGGTCTTTTGACTCCTGGTCCCCTAACCTTATGAAAGTTAAAATCTCCCATTTTTTTTCTCTCTCTCTCAAGGTCTAAGGCTGAGACTGAATTTGCCAGTAACTCCTTAGTTTTTTTAGCAATGGACAAATATTTAATTATGAATAAAAATGACCAGGCCATCTCTCTGGATTCTCCTCTTGTGTCCAAGGCTTGTAAAATTTTCTAGGCTCTCTATAATCCTTAGTGAGTTTTCAGACACAGGAGGTTGCAGCCTCCATTTTTCAAGTAACTGAGCTATTTTCCCACATTTGCAGGATGGCTGCGACCTGGAGATTTCCCCCTTTGAGTCCCTCCACATCTGCATGGCCCTTGTCATTTTAGTTACATATTTTAATATCCATTGTATAACCCATGTGACTGCTGCTAACCCCATTAAGCGTATGGGGGTTGGCCACCCTCTCTCCTGGGTTCCCACCAGCTTCTCTTGTGTTACCTCACAGAACGCCTCTCAGTGCCCATCTCTGCCCTTTTGGATTTGGGAATCTGAACCTGACTCCCTTTCCATCAGCTCACCCTATGCTGCTGGAACCATGACACTTTCCAAGGCCCACATCTCCAAGTTTTTACCAGACTCCTGTGGTTCATCTATCCAGCCGCACTACAATAGTTTCCCCATATTTTCTCCTCCCCCTTCTTGGGAGACCACACGCTGGTCCCAGGGTTGACAAACCAAGAGAATACCGTCTATTTGGGTTTTGCGTAGTTTATGACATCTGGGAGGGGATGACTTACAAAGGCATGAAACACTGCCATCAGCATGTGTGGAGAGCCAGAGCCTCCGCCGCCATTACAAGATGGCGCCGGTATCCGGACCTTCTTAATAGTAAACATCCTGCTGCACCCATAAGGGGCGTGCACAAGAGCCTGCTCTCCCTCGCCTCCTCCCGTGGCGTGATCTCCAGCAACCAATCCGCTTCTTATACGTCATAAATGGGACCTTTAGGGCATATATAAGCAACAGCTCTCCCACTTCTCGGCGTCTTCGGTCTTCATCCTTAGTATGCTATGTAAGAGGCTTATGAAATAAACTGCTGCAGAAGGATCCTGACTTGTCCTCCCGCGTCGTTCTTGCCGGCGAGACGGAAAGCGGTTGGGGACAGCTGGTGCTGAAACCCGGGAATCAACATCGCTGGCGCCGCCCGAAGACCCCTCCAATACAGGAGGAGGATTCAGAACTGCAGGTAGGTTCGGAGAGGTATGGATGTTATGGAGGTTGCTGGAATTCTAGAGGATCTCCAGGACAGCCTATCAGAAACCGAACGAAGTGAAAGGATGGGAGCACGTGCAAAAGAAAATAGGGCCCAAAGTGAAAATGGACCTCCCGGTAAGCCAGAGGAAGGCAGGGGAGAGAGCACTGTCGAAAAGGACGGAGCAAGAAACCAAGTAACAGGTTTTAGACAGGGAAGAAACTTACCAAAGGGGTATTTATACCCCACAAGGGAACTTGCTGCTCTGCAGTTAGAAGAGAGCAGTTTAAGCCCAGAAGAAGAGATAGAATTAGAAGAACAAGCAGCAAATTATGAAGAAAATAGATACAGGCCACTGGAATATAAGAACCCAGTGC